ATATATATATACACACACATACATATACTGGACTGCTAACCAATAAATGTCTAGGATAAAAAATATATATGTGAAATACACACACACACACACATATACACATATATTTCATAGACTGCTGGGGCCAACTGCTGCGTCCGACAATTGGCTATTCTCCACAACCTGCACAGAGAGATTAAACCTGAGTAGGGGGCGATAGGAGATTAGAAATAAAATGAAGACACAAGACACAAGTGAAATAAGAAAAGTTGAGACAAGGTGGGAGTAGCACTCTGATGGAGATACTGCAGCACAGATCACTGCAGTGAGATTATTATGTACACAGCTCAAGGGGAGGTGCTTCAGGGAAGGTAAGGAGTACAAGAACATCTTGTATTGATGGAGCCAACAGTAAGTGGAACTTTATCAGAAAAACTGTAACTTGTGGCAGCTAGCTGGAACACTGATTAGGGCAGCTAGAACATTGCACAGGCTGAGCTGAAGGACACAGCTAAATACAAGGAAAGACCTTGCAAGTTCCCTGTCTCCTGAGGCAGCCCTGCAAGTTCCTCAGGGGGCTGGTTCTTGACTTGGACACAGCCCGAGTTTCTGGACCACAACTATTCACTTGCAATCCTTCAGTTAAACTACACCCAAGTTGGGGAACTTTGGCTCAGTGCTCCCAACAATACACATATATGTATGTAACAATACACACATACACATATATGTATATACATAGGGAGTCCTGGTGTGGCTCTGTGGGTAAATGCACTAGACTGCAAAGTCAGCTTGAACCACAAAGTCAATTGTTCAAGCTCACCAGTCACTCCTTGGAAACCCTGTACAGGGTTGCTATGAGTCAGAACTGACTCTATGGCACTTCACAACAACAACAGTGTACATGCATGTATATACATATACATATATACACATACACACATATACTGGACTGCTAACCACAAGATCAGCAGTTCAAATCTACCAGTCACTTCTTAAAAACCCTAAGCAGGGTTTCTATGAGTCAGAACTGACTAGATGTCAGAACTGACTTGATGGCACCTAACAAAAAAAATATATATATATATATTTCTTCCAAGGCAGTTGTCCCCTATTTTAGTATTTCTGGGTGGCATGGTGTTAACTGATTGACTACTAATCAAAGGGTTGGGAATTCAAACCTACTTTGAGGAGCCTTAGAAAATGAGTCTGGTGATCTACTTCCAAACAGTCACAAGTTTGAAAACACTATTGTTCAGTTCAATTGAGTTCTGTCAGTTTGTCATACTGTGATGTTATATAAAGGGGAATGAAATGAAGTATATTATGTGTTGAATATAAAACTGATGATCTGCTCTGTAAACTTTTACTCAATTTACAAATTTTTTTTTTCTTTTAAAAGATCATATGGGAAATAATTTATGGGCTTTCTTCACATTCTAGAGTTAAAAAGAGGTAGACCTGAAGAAATCTGAGTATAAAGGCACCTGCTTTTGGAAGACAGATAGATTTAGAAGAAGGAAGATTTCAGCTGATAGTAGGACCTAGTTCCTTCACTGTAAATGATGGCCTTGAATGGGTGCCCTACTATCTATGTTTTGTGGTTTTAGGAACGGGAACAAGAGTTGCAAAAGGAGGAAGCAAGACAGGTCAAGAACTTTGAGATGTGCCAGGAATTTGAACAGAATGCAAGTGCCTTCCTGCAGTGGATTCTGGAGACAAGGTGTGCTGCGCTAATCCTTAAACTGTATATCCCATTCCAGATAGGGAGAAAACACATGTCTGAGGGGTAATGAAAGAATTCTATGGCACTTATGCTGTGCTGAAATTACTATGTGCTCTCTGTGCCTTATGTTTAGAACTGACTGCTTTCTAAATCAATTCTTGGCAAAAATCAAGAAATGGGAGTTTCAATCTCCTGCCCATTGTCTCTCCTTCTGTTTTCTCTTGGATACTCTTGCCTTTCTTCCTGTAATTGCAATCCAAAAATAATAACAATTCCTTAGGTTTGCATGTCTCTTTGCATTTTATGAAGTACTTCCATATCTATTCCTCACTCTACTTTCAGAACAACTTTGAAAAGTGTGCAGCACCAATTTTACTACCTCTGCTTCTGTGTGAGGAAGATGTTGAAATAGATAAATTGACTTGTTCAAGGTCACGTAAGCATTTATTGGCACAAGTAGCAGAGCCTACTGTGAACACCTAATATGAAGCTATTATGTTGCCTACCTACTAAAACTATAATGAGAATCAAGGAGATACTATATGCTAATTGCTTTTATTAAATAGAAAATGTTCTATTTGTGAAGATGACATTTGTGTCATCTTCTGGGGGTAAATGACATGGAAAAGAAGAAGCTTAGCAGTTGAAATGCATTTGTTGTTGTTGTTGTTATGTGCCGTGGAGTCAGTTCCGACTCATAGCGACCCTGTACAGGGTTTCCGAGGCTGTAAATCTTTACGGGAGCAGAAAGCCTCATCTTTCTCCCGCAGAGCAGCTGGTAGTTTTGAACTGCTGACCTTGCGGTTCATAGCCCAATTTGTAACCACTACCTACCAGAGCTCCTTTGAAATACATTTGAATGAATGGTTAAAAAAAAAAAAAAAAAAGGGACACTGTATCTAGTAGGTAGGTCAGAGTTGGGGAGTTTCAAGGGTTGAAGTGCTGATTTAGACAATCCATGATATTTATTATTCCTACATACCTACTGACAAGAATAAATCAGACCATAAATGAAAGGCAATCCTGTGTCATGGCTAAAGACAACATAGCAGAAGACAAAGGAAGCACACCACATCCTCTTTTGGTTTTGGTCCTTTTCTAGTATGATCCCTTGCAGTGTGGGTATCCCAAACAAACTCCAGTGCTTTTACTGAAGCATCACAGAAGATATTAAGTTCCTCCAAATGAAAACGGCTTTGGGAATAGTGGGTGGGACAGGTTTATATTTTATAACTAAAAATGATAAGGAATGTCTCATAAATTTGAGGAACTAAGACCATTGAAATAATCTATGCTAACAGGTAATTTTACTTTTTTTCTCTCTCTGATACCTGTTTTGGATCTCCATGACCAGGGCATATTTTCTGGATGGGTGAGTATTTTATGTTATAATGTCCATTTTGCTATGTCTTATTCTAGAGGAATTTATCAAGCAGGAGTTTGTACTGAGGCATCTTTATACCATCACAATTCAATGGTGCCTTAATAAAAATATGGGGTGAGAAGGAGAAACATGAATGTATCATTTTGGTGTAACACCCCATGAGATGTAATCTTGTCTACTTTAGGCCCAGGGTATGTTTGAGGATAAGAACTTGGAGGGAGGTGTGGGAATGTTGTCCCAGGCAGGGAAGAAGCAGGGCAGACCTAATTCAATTTGGCAAAATTACCCATAGACAGAGGATTTGGGAATGCCTTAACTACTTAGGTATGTCATAAAGTGACACTGCAAAGTATGTGGTTTTAAGGGAAAAAAATTTCTTTTCCTACAGTTCTGAAAGCTAGAAGACCAAATAAAAGTATTGACCATGTTGATTCCTTCTGAGGCCTTTGAGAGAGGAACTGCTCCATGCTTCTCCTCTAATTTCTAGTGGCTGCCAGCAATCCTTGGCATGACTAGATTGCTTGTAGATCCATCTGCCTCCATTATCACATGACCTCTCTTTCCCTTCATGTTTGTTCTCTATGTCTTCTCTTTCATAAGACACCCTTCAGAAGGGATTAGGACTAGAACCTACCTTATTCTCATGTAATATAAAAAAAAGTTTGATAATATTTATTTCTCAAACAAAATAACATGAATTTTGAACTATGAAAATTCCTGTGAACATATAACAAGAGAAATGGAAGCAGCGAAGTGTAGTGGCTTTGAGTTGGTATGTCTGTGTGAGCTATGACTCTGGTATTTTGAGTCAATAGCACTTAACAACAACAGCAGTATTATGAGTAATGTTTCTCTCTGGTTCTTAACTAGATCTTTGCTCAAAGAAACAGGAACTCTGGAATCCCAATTGGAAGCAAATAAAGTAAGTGACTTTTGTTATTTAGTTGAGGATGTTGTCAAACATACAAAGAGTGCCAGAAAAATAATCAGAGGCAACTGCATTAATATTTTACGTAAACTCTCTGGTTGAAAATCAAGAGTCTAAGACTGAGGTTGCAGCTTTGTCATCAACTTGCTGTCTAACCACAGCTATTACTTCATGCATATGACCCTTAGGTTTCTTGTTAGGTGCTTTCCAGTCAGTTCTGACTACCAGTGATAGGTTTGGAAGGTTAATCTTTGGAGAGTCATAAGACATTGGAATATCTCAGATTTTTTAATGCCCAAATCAATTCACCTCTTCTCCTTGTCCTGGTGTGTAGCTGTGGGTTAATGTTCTGGACTGCAAAGTTAGTATAAGGTTGGTGGTTCAAATTCACCAGCTACTCCTCAGAAATACTATACAGTGTAGCTATGAGTCAGAACAGACTCGAAGGCACTTAACAATGACATTATGAAGAAAGTTGGCTTGGATGACAATGAGCAGACCATGGAAGTCTTCCAAAATGGATGAGGTCCATGAGTACACTGGGCACTTAAGTGGTCCAGAAAGTTCATCTATAATCAATAGTGCAGGTAGTTCGCAATATAGATCATTACAATATATAACTATTAAGTCTTGTTGTTGTTGTTGTTGTGAAGTGCTGTTGAGTCGATTCCGACCCATAGCGACCCTATGTAGGGTTCCTGAGGAGCAGCTGGTAAGCTTGAACCACTGACCTTGCAGTTCAAACGATTTTGCAGTCTGGCAATACATATAATTACAAAATTACAGACATCTTACAGGTTATCTCATCCAACCCATATTTTATAAATCTGAGTTAGAAACAAAGTGGTTTTACTAAATAATTTTCACTGAGGATGGAAATATCCCTGAAAATAACTGAAATGGAAGAATCAGGGGGAACTCCAAATTACCAGTCTCTTTTTAATTCTTATCTCACGCTCGTGGTTTTGTAGCTGATGCTCTGAGTGATTGTCTCTCTCTCTTCTTTGTCATATTCCAGAGGAAGCAGAAGGAGATCCAAGCCATGAAACGTCAACTAACCAAGATTGAGGACATGGGGGACAACTTGGAGGAGGCGCTGGTCCTTGACATAAAATACAGCACTATTGGGCTAGCCCAACAGTGGGACCAGCTCTATCAGCTTGGGATGCGGATGCAACACAACTTGGAGCAACAGATCCAAGCCAAGTATTGAGGATTTGGGGAACGTTGAGGGAAAGTATTAGGTGTTAGGAAGTTAATGCCAAGGGGTTGACAAAAAATTGATGTAGTACTGCAAAAGCAGTCATAGATAACAAGTAAATGAATGGTCATATTCCAATCAAACTTTATCTATGAATACTAAAATTTGAATTTCATATCATTTTCATGCTTTAAAAAATGTTATTTTGTGACTATTTCCAATCATTTAAAAAATATAAAAACCATTCTGAGCTTACAGGTTGTACAAAAGCAGGTGACAAGCTAGATTTTACTAAGCCCTGATCTTCCATAATGTGCACTAAAATTTCTTTCTCTTTAGCATAGCATATTTGTGCAAATCTTTTATATTTTATTTTATAGAATAATTGATGTTTGTTTTTCTCTCAGGGACACAATAGGTGTGAGTGAGGAGACACTAAAGGAGTTTAGCACAACTTACAAGTGAGTATAACTTCAGCATAGATTGGTTCTGGGTTTTCTAGATATTTCAAAATGAATAGCCAGATAAGTAATATTCTTCTCCCTCAGTGAGACTTTATTTGCCATGCGTGGTTGCCAAATAATTAGCCTTAGTCATGGCTTTTACTATGTCTAAAAATCCTATCTGGATTTTAGAAAAATGTATATATTCCATGTTCAAAGTGTTATGCTTCACCCTCCATAAGTATATTAGAGACATGCAGAGACACAGGTCAGCTATCTATTTAGTTCTCTGACAATCTTGTAAAGTGTTAATAAAATTCCAGTGGATCCAACAAGAAATTTTTCTTTTTGTTGTTATCTGGTTCTCTATTGAAACTGTGTGATTTATTTCTTCTTCAGACACTTTGATGAAAATTTGACAGGGCGCTTGAATCACAAGGATTTCCGGTCCTGCCTAAGAGGACTCAATTACTACTTGCCTATGGTGGAGGAGGGTGAACCTGAACCCAAGTTTGAGAAGTTTCTGGATGCTGTTGATCCAGGAAGGTAGGAAGGTGACCAAGGGCCAGACCATGGTGGGCACTGGGTCTTGGAGAAACAAGTACAGATGCTAGAAATGATCCAAATCTCATGAAATGAAGTAATCTTAGAATAGAGTTATATACCAAAAAATGCAAACCTGTTGCCATTGCGTCAGTTTCTATTCATATCCCACTGCCATCAACTCATGTCCAACTCATAATGTCACAATATAGTGTTTCTAAGACTGTAAATCTTTATGGAGCAGAAAGCCTCATCTTTCTATAGTGGAGTGACTGGGAGGTTTGAACTTCCAATCTTGTAGCTAGCAGTCCAACACTTCTCCTACAAGAGGATTTTGTCTTATGTTGTTCTTGTTAAGTGTCATCCAGTGAGTTCTAAGGAGCAGTTGGTGGGGTTTAACCACTGACTTTATGGTAAGCAGTCCAGTGCTTATCATACAGTGCCACACCAGGACTCCTCCTACTCATATTTAATTGTTGGTAAGTGCCATCATGTGGGGAGTACCTGCTCTCCAAGGGGGGTCGTTGGACACGATCATCGGATGACGAAATAAATGAATACAATCGAAAGGCTTTTCAGCTTGCTGTACTGTCCAGCTGTTCTCTCCAGCTTCTGCTCTCTGCTCCTTCTTCTTTCTGCCTCTGCCCCTACTGCCTCTACTTTTGCTCTCTGCTTTCCTCTGCTGCTTTTGCCCTCTTTCTCTTCCTCTTACTTTCTGCCGCTTCTGCCGCTTCTGCCAGCCCAGCTCAGCAAGCCTTTATTTTTTATGCTTAAAATTACACAGTACATGCATTGACACTTTGATCTTTTCTTGAATTGTTACACAGTTAGTCACAACATTCTTGTATCTGGTCATTAGACAACCTTGACAAAAATACTTCTGTGATGTTCAGACTGACCTTCATGTTCTTTCCCAGTATGAGATAAAACTGTTTCTTCTTGTTTCTACTAAAAGACTATAAACTTTATATCCTACATAATGTGCTATTATTTTCATAATAAAGGTATTCATTAAATCACTTGGAAGCTATGTGGCATAAAGCCCAACCTGGCTACTTGCTGCAAGAAGTGTAGATTATTAAGTCAAAACTATCCTTCACTTAAGTTCATTATTGTCTACTTGTTTACGCAGGTGTCTGTATGTAGGGGTTTGTGAATTCTAGCTAGTGACTGAATGTGGTGAGGTCTGTGGGTGTAGGTCAGCTTGACTCTAATATGTTATCTGCTTTTGTGGCCTCACAAATGCAGTTACTTAGGTGTTCTATGAAAAGGAGTAATGTACACAATTTCTCTTTGTATTCAATCCACAAAGCTGAAAGCAATTGTTGATAAGCTAGTTTTTCCTAAGGTTTGTAGAACTCATAGTGAAAGGCTATGAATATTGCCATATTATATATTTTTATAAGTAAATTTAGGGTTACTCTAAAGAGAAGGTAGAAAGCAACTTCTGAAAATCATCTGTCTTTGCAAGACGATTCTTATTTGCTGGAACTGTGTCAAGCAGCAAATTGAAGCTGTCCTCCACCCTCAGTGGCTCTCAGCACCATCAGACTACCATAAATGAATTAGTCTGTCCTAAGTGCCCTTTAAGAATTTACTTAGAAGTCAATGGTCTAACACTAATGGTCTTCCATTACTTAGAAGTCAATGGTCTAACTCAGGCATCAGTTATGTAATTTGTTCAACTTATAGTTTGTGTTTGATCAGTGAATTTCAGTTGGTTCTGAGGAGGAAGATTGTGAGAAAAATTCCTTAATGTATTTGAAGTCCTAAAAATCATGGGTGATTCAGAGGTCAAAATATGAGGCTGAGAATTGTTATGTGTTTGTCAGGGTGAGGTCAGGACACAAGGACCAAAGAAAACCAGAAATTAATTAAAATACTAAAGGAAAATTTCAGAACTCTTTAAAAAGTGCTGATTAGCCTCTGTGTAAACAGAACTAGGTACTTAAGAAGCAAAAGCAGCATTTATTTAGCTACCAGAAGAGCCAAGAGGAGGATCAAAAAAAAACACAGCCATAGGCTCTGAGAGCTTCACTGAAAGAGGACTTGGAGAATCTGATTTCCTTCTGCCTGTAAGACACTGGGTAGGGTGAAGAAAGGATCTTGCTTCCTCTCTGGAACTTGAGAGTACAGTTTCTGATCCATTTCACCCACAGGAAAGGCTATATCTCACTGGAGGACTACACTTCATTCCTGATTGACAAGGAGTCAGAGAACATCAAGTCTAGTGATGAAATAGAGAATGGCTTCCATGCCCTGGCAGAGGGCAAGTCTTATATTACCAAAGAGGACATGAAGCAGGTAAGATATTAATTCTTTCCACTTACATCATGCTCTCCTTGCAATCTAGATTTTGGTCATCTCACACCTGGATGTCTACTGTAGATTCCCAGTTTTTATCAGTCCACTTTTTGTATAGGGTATCATTTTACTTGATTCCCACTTTGTCTTGACCTGACTCGAAACTTATTGTTGTTGCTAAGTGCCATCAAGTTGGTTCTGACTCATAGTGACCCTGTATAGGGTCTCTGAGGAGCAGCTGGTGCATTTGAATTACTGACCAGGACTCCTATAATTGTTGTAGTTGCAACTTATAGTGTGACCCTGTATAGGGTTTCCAGGGAGCTGCTAGTAGGTTTCAACTGCCGCCTTTTGATTGGCAGTCCAGTGCTGATCCTTCATTGCCTTGCCAGCACTCCTACCTTGTTGTTGTTGTTGTTGTTAAGTACCATTGAGTCGGTTCTGACCCATAGTGGCCCTGTATAGGGTTTCTGAGGAGGGGCTATTGAGCTTGAAATTCTGACCTTGCAGTTCAAATGACTTAGCAGTCCAGCACATTAACCCACACAGCACCACATCAGGACTCCTATGGTGGTGGTGGTGGTTACGTGCCTTGGAGTTGGAACTGACTCATAGCGACCCTGTGCAGGGTTTCCGAGGCTGTAAATCTTTCCAGGAGCAGAAAGCCTCCTCTTTCTCCTGCGAAACAGCTGGTAGTTTCAAACTGCCAACCTTAAGGTTCGCAGCCCAATTCGTAACCACTACACTACCAGAGCTCCTTAGGACTCTATTTGTCTATTTGACTATTGGAGTCAATCTAAAATCTTCAACCCAATGTTTAAAGTTATTTCTTATCTCTTATTTTATAAGCAAAATTTGTTGTTGTTGTGTGCCGTGGAGTTGGTTCCGACTCATAGCAACCCTGTACAGGGTTTCCGAGGCTGTAAATCTTTACAGGAGCAGAAAACCTCATCTTTCTCCTGTGGAACAGCTGGTAGTTTCGAACTGCTGACCTTGCGGTTCGCAACTCGATTCATAACCACTACGCTACCAGAGCTCCTTAAGCAAAATTTAGGGAATGGAATAAATAGTGTGGTCAGAATCAGATTAGACTCTTTAAGAAAGAGATAAATTGATGACATGAGTTGATCTTCTTCATTATAAACCATAAACGTTTGAGAGACGTGTGTAATAGGAACAGGGCTGGTTTCTCCTTCCAGTGCCTTTTATTGTTGTCAGGTGTCATCGAGTAGGTTCCAACTCATAGAGATCCTGTACAGGATTTCCAAGTAATAGCTGGTGGGTTGGAACCATTACCCTTTCAGTTAGCATTCCAGTGCTTATCCTACAGCACCACACCAGGTGTAGGATATACCCCACATTTAAGACATTTTAGCAAGCTCAAGAAACCAACTTTTTGTGATTCCCTATAACAACTGTAAACATCTCTTTATTTCTGTTTTCAGGCCTTAACTCCAGAACAAGTAGCATTTTGTACTTCACATATGCAGCAATATGTGGATCCTCGGGGTAAAAGCCACCCTGCCGGCTATGACTATGTTGGCTTCACCAATTCCTACTTTGGCAACTGATAAACAACTCTGAATGGATCTTAGAAAATTGTGGTGTAGTGGGAAGTATTGGGGGATAAAGAGAGCAGGCAAATATAGAAGGTGGGAAAATAGATATGTGTGTGTGTGTTCATTACATTTATTGCAGATCTAAAACATTTCAAGCTTGGGAGGCATAAGGGCTTAAAAGAGTTGGAGGAGAGGAGGCTATGGGTTTATCCTGCATGCAACTAGTCATTATTGAGGGCTATCAAGTCATAAGTACTTGTTGGGTTTTATTTTTTCTATTATTTTGTTTCTTCTTGATTTTACAATAAAGTCTTTCTTTTTTTTTGACTATTTTATTTTTGTTGAGACTGTACATAGTAGCACTTACACCAATTCAACAATTTCTACATGTCCAATTTAGTGACATCGATTGCATTCTTTGGGTTGGGCACAAACCCAAAGATTGTAATCAATATTCCAGTTCTAAAGGTACCATTCTTACCCTTCCATTTCAAAGTTATTTCTCCCATTAACATAAACTCACTATCCTCTAAATTTCCATCTCATCTTTCAAGTAACTGTTGTCAGTTTGATCCCATATAAATAAATCCTAAAAGAGCACAATGCTCAAGGTAGACATTCTTTACTAGTTAAGACCTCAGGGGATATTTTTTGGTTTCTAGGTCAAAGATTATATCAGAGCAGTAGTTTCAGAGATTCATTCAGTCTCTATGAATCCAGAAAATCTAGATTCCATTAAAATTTTAATTTCTGCTCTGCATTTTCCTTCTTTTCATCAGGATTCTTCTATAGAACTTTTAATCAAATTGTTTACTAATGGTAACCAGGCACCATTCAGTTCTCATCTCATGACAAAGCAATTCATCACACAACCCATTTTCTACTCCCTATTCTGACTTTCCTGTTACTGAATATTGCTCCAGACAAACAGAAACCAATTTTTAAAAAATAACATTACATTTTTATTGTGGTGAAAATATACACAATAAAACATTCATGGATTCAATAATTTTTACATGTATAATTCAATGACATTGATTACATTCTTTATGTTCTGTTACCATTATTGCTATCCTTTATCATACTATTCTATCACCATTAATATAAATTTAATGTTCCTTAAGCAAAATCTCCCCCATTCCTCCTCTCTTCCATCCATGTTGTTGTTGTTAAGTGCCGTGGAGTTGGTCCTGACTCATAGCAACCCTGAATAGAGTTTACAAGGAGCAGCTGGTGAATTTGAACTTGCAATTCAAGCTAACCTTGTGCTTTATCCCAGGGTGCCACACCAGTACTCCCTTCTACCCATGATAACAATGAATAATCTTTGGTGCTTATACATATATTTGCTCATTTAATTGAGATTATACAATATTTTCCCTTTTGTGACTAGCTTATTTCACTCACCATAATGTTTTCAAGTTTTATTCATGGAATGTGTCAGGATTTTACTTGTCTTTATGACTGAGTAATTTTCCATTGTATATGTATACTACATTTCATTTACCCATTTGCCAGTTAATGAACTTAAAAATTTTTTATTTTCTCCCACCTTTTGGCTCTTGTGGAAAGTGCTGCATAAATATTGGTGTACATGTTTCTGAAGAGGATGTGTTTCCTGCGAGTATAGAAGAACATGGATTTGTGTCTAAAAGAATAGCCCTTTGAGGTAAATTTCTCCCTTTTAAGTCACAGCCTATGTCAAACTCATTAACAAATCATGCTTAACGTTTTCTTTAGTTTCTATCATCGCTAAGTTTAGGCTTGTTTTGCCTTTCTTTCAGACTTATCACTGATCTTCTTACTTCTGATTTTTCTGTTGAAATCCATTTTCCTCTCTGCTACTGGATCAGTTTTCCTACATCATTTCTCAAATACCACTCTATTCTCTCCTGAAAGGTTTTCTGCATCCCACTGTCCAGTTTGAAAGGTGCCAAGTCTAAAGTAAGGTAATAAGACTACTTCCTGCTCCAATCTGACTTCTGCACCTTGCTTCTGTGGGGGTATTTCCCGTCCCCCGTCCCTTGTGACAACTCACTACACTCTGGAATAGGCCTATACTGTCTTACTATCTGGTAGCATAATGGTTATGCATTGGGCTTCTAACCTTAAGGCCAATAGTTTGAAACTACCAGCTGTTCTTCTGAAGAAAGATGAGGCTTTCTGCTCCCATAAAGATCTACAGCCTCAGAAATCCTATACAGGGTCACTATGAGTCGGAACTGACTCCACACCACATTACCAAATAATCAAATGTTTAGTTATGCTGTTCTCTCACAATGTCTCTTCTCCTCACTCAGTGCATTTATCCATTAGAAACAAGTTCAAGTACTACTTCAGACATGGTGTTTTCTCTGATCCTCTACCTAGAGCAATTTGTCCTTCTAAGAGCCAATATTGCTTTGCTTCCTGGTAACCAGTTGCTATCTAGTCAATTCCAATTCATGGTCACACTGTATATGTCAGAGTAGAAATGTGCTTCATAGGGGTGCCAAGGGTTGATTTTTAATAAGATTATCATCAGATTTTTCTGCAAGGTTCTTCTGTGTGGACTGTAACCCTCAATCTATCAGTTATTGTTATTGTTAACTACCATCAAATTAATCTGACTCATAGCTAACCTCTATAAGGATTCCAGTGAACAAGTTGGTTTGAACCACCAAACTTGTGGTTAGCAGTCCAGTGCTTATTCTGCAGCATTGCACCAGGACTTGAGTTAGTAGCAGAACACATCAATTATTTGACCCACCCAGGGACTCCTCACTTTGGTTAACACATTATTAATAGTTACAGTGAATATTTATTGGATGACTATACCCTGTTATTTTACAAAGTTCTTTACATGAATGTTTCTATTTAGTCAACAACATAAAATAATGAAGTTATAACCATTTAATTATCAAAGACATTGAAATAGAGAAAGGTTAAATCACTTACTGTGTTCACATAGCTAGTAAGTTTCGGATCCCAGATTCAAGCCCCTGTCTGATAGCTGTATGTGTTAATTACACTTTCATTCATTCCTAAGAATGTCTGGCACCATGAATGCCACATTTTAGGCAAAGAGCCAAAACAGGTAAGAAAGGTAGTCCTGACACAGATTCAAGAGCACAGTATCTATGTTGGGAAGTGTCCCAAATGAAGAGTCTGTTTGATACTCAATATTATGTGGCCATCAAAGAACTATATATAAAGAAGTGGATAATTTTCTGAAGTAGAATCTACTCAGCTAGGAGAACTAATTAAAAGGAGGAGAGCATAATAGTAACATGCCAGAGGACAAAAGAACACTATAGAAGACACCTGATGAGAAAAAGAGAGGATATCCTATTTTTTCACTGAGAAAGGAATTCAAACTGATCTATCAACTGCTATTCACTGACTTTAAGATCTTGGTAAAAACCTTATATGTCATATAAATCTGACTTTGTAATTATTTTAGGAATTTCTATAGTAATCCTGATAGGGTCCTCTCAGCCAGACCTTGAACTTGATCATTCCAAACTGCCTTTGTTTTGTTCAAATCAATTAAACAATTCTCAGTGAATTGAGTTTCAGTAACCAGAGTGGCACCTGAGTCTAAAAGTGAAAATTCAGACCCTGAGTTAAGTGTGGGCTAAGTTCAGTAAGCAGAACAGAGAGCCCGAGCTGTCTGAGGAGAGTTCAGGAGGCAGGATACAACTCTTCCATGGGCTTTAAGGTGGGACAACTTTAACATGAGGCCCTGGATATCTGGCTGACTGGTGTGGCATTCCTATCCTATGCCCAGCCTACTCAGAAGAAACTGTCTCATTGAGCTTCCCCTCACCCTTTACCCAGTAATCTTCCTTGCAAAGCATTTTTCAGAGCTGTCTTCACAGCTCTATTCCTTAGACTATAAACAATGGGGTTGAGGAGAGGGGTCACTACAGTATAGGTGACAGCAATAAGCTGATCCCGCTCAAGAGAGTAGCTGGCTTTGGGCCTCAAATACATAAAGGAGGCACAGCCATAGTGAACAATGACCACTGTGAGGTGGGAGGCACAGGTGGAGAAGGCCTTCTTCCGCCCCTCAGCAGAGGGGATTCTCAGGATGGCTGCCAAGATGTAGGCATAGGAGATAGTGATGAGAGAGAAGGAGACCAGGAGGACCAGCAGGCTGAGGACGAGGATACCCAGTTCATTCAGGCTTGTATCTCCACAGGCCAGGCTCAGCACTGGGGGCGTATCACAAAAAAAATGCTGAATCTCATGGGAGTTGCAGAATGGGAGATGGAAAATTACCAGTGTCATTCCCAGCCCAAAGAGATACCCACTCAGGAAGGAGGCTCCAACTAGCTGGGCACAGAGGGTAGGATGCATGCGACTGGCATAGTGCAGTGGAGCACAAATGGCCACATATCTGTCAAAGCCCATGGCAGCCAGAAGAAAGCAGTTGGTGGAGGCCCATGAGGCAGAAAAGAACATCTGGGCAGCACAATCCATATAGGAGATGGCTTGGTCCCCCATGGCCAGCCCAGAGAGCATCTTAGGAATGATGCCCAAGGTGTAGCAGGTCTCAGAGAAAGATAGGTAAGAAAGGAAGAGGTACATGGGGGTGTGCAGATGGATATCCAACCTAATGATTATGATAATGAAGACATTGCTTGTCAGAGTGATAAGATAGAGAGAGAGGAATACAGCAAAGAGCAGAAGTTGCAGTTCCCCAAAGCTGGAGAAGCCCAGGAAGACAAAGCCCCTCCAGGAAGTCATGTTAGTCTGCCCCATTCTGAGTGAATAGGTTGATTTCTTCCACCTTTCTGGTAGGTGCCTGGCCTTTTTAGAAGGCAGGATGAAGTGGGTTCTTTTTCTTTGTACCTGTTGTAAAGGAGGCTCTGATTTAGATTAAAACTAAACATGAAATATGTGTTACACCAGAAACACTTATATGTGGACCCTTTCCCACAAGCATAGATGTGCATGCACAAATATACAATCTTCACAAATATTCTTATGCACCATTTTCACACAGACACATACATGACTGCATTTATGCAGACACAAATATACGTGTAAATGTACATACCACATCAAAAGCATCCTCACAAAATTATGCATATTTCACACATTAAAAACCACATTTTACACATTTACCATTAACGACCATAGTCACAAATTTGTCAGGCATAAACATACATTACAAGTTAATATACAAATTTGGAATGTGTGTGCAGACGGAGTTACATGTACCACATATGTCCATACAGACATCATAAAAACAATGCCACATAAGAATATACATGAGAATACATACACATTTCCTGTAAAAACGAGTGGGAGAGATAATAGATATTATTTTATAAATCAGGCAGCAAAGGCAAAGAGAGATAAAGTGGCATGCTTGAAGTAACACAACAAAAAGCCCGAACTAGAGAACACATTTTTTTAATGCATATTTCCCCTATACAAATCTCTTCAGACACTGTGTGTGGGATACTAACAGGAAAGAGAATAAGAAACAACAGGGGCACTATGAGTCAGAACCAACTCAATGGTACTTAATAACAACTCTATAATGATGCCTTATACCACCTCTCCCCATCACATAATCCCTTTTATCTTTTCCAAACTGCTTTGGCAGAGGAGGGCAGGTTGCTTTTACATGTAAGTATACGTTGATCACTTAAGCAAAATCAAAGCTCAGAGCAGATAGAGCATTGGGTATCTCTCAGCCATTAGGAACTGCTGCCTCCAAAGCACATGCTGAGAATCAAGGGAATTTCAGCCCTGGGAGATTCTCCATTCACCTGACAGAACTCACACAGTGAAGGCAAGTCTTGCTTCTCAGCAAACATCCACTGGACCACTGCCTAGCAGACCTACAAGGAGCTGAAAATCCTAGAAAAACATCTCAGGAACTCCTTTCTGAGCAAAGAGCCCTGTTCCCAAATGATAGCAAAAAGCTTATTCCCATACCCAGGTGATGAATCTTATGAGTTTCCATCAAAACAGGTTCTCTCTGAGGATTGCTGTGTCCCAATGGGTGCAGTTTCAGGAAGCATTTCTAATTCCAATTGCACTTCTTAACATTAGCTTTAATATCCTCTGGAGGGAAGGGGAAAAGGGAATGTGAAGAAAGAGATGTTAAGATTGTGATTCAAAGAATGTTTTATATATCTTTTATATGCTAAATAATTATTTGCACATGTTAAATTACTTTTAAAACTTACACAGCCTAGTGAAATAGGGTTAAAGGTTGTATTTTATAGAACAGAATATTGGCCTAGTAATATGTAAGTGACTAGCCAAGGAGCTCTGGTAGCGTAGTAGTTACTACTCGGGCTGTGAACCGCAAGGTCAGCAGTTCGAAACTACCAGCTGCTCCGCTGGAGAAAGATGAGGCTTTCTACTCCCGTAAAGATTTACACCCTCGGAAACCCTGTACAGGGTCGCTATGAGTCGGTTCCAACTCCATGGCACATAACAACAGCAACAAGCCCAAGATCACGGAACTAGAATTTATGTTTCATAATCCACATTACGGAGTCCTGCTGTGGCACCAAGGATAAGCAATGGATCTCAAGGTCCTTTGAACCACAAGGTCAGCATTCAACCTCACCAGCTGCTCCTCAGAAATCCTATACAGTGTTGCTATGAGTCAGAACCAACTGGAAGGCACTTAATAACAACAATAATACACATTATGAGAGATATCACAAAACAGAAAAGGAATTAATTTTTCCCCTACTGTCTCAAGATCTTGAGGTGTGAGTCCAGTTTCAAAGTCATTTTGAAGAATATCTTCATATCCCTAAGCATCGATTTCTTCCTATACCCTAATATGTCTACTCTAGTTCTTATATAAGGAGCTCTGGTAGCATAGTGGTTATGGCTTGGGCTGCTAACCTCAAGGTCAGCAGTTCGAAACTACCAGTCTTTCTGCAGGGGAAAGATGAGGCTTTCTGCTCCCATAAAGATTTACAGCCTCAGAAACCCTGTACAGGGTAGCTATGAGTCCGAACCGACTCCACAGGACATAACCACCACCACCACTTCTTATATAAATATCTTTTAAAAAGCAGATTTACCTTATTATCATTCTCTTTCTTTCAACAATGACACAATGTCTGTACCCAGTTTTCAAATATGCATTCTATCAGACAGATTGTCCTGAAGCCTCAAAATGTCTAAAAATAAGATAGAGTAGCTCAAACAAGTGACCAAAATGCACAGACAGAAGATGTTTCCAAGGAAGAAAAGGTATTGGAACTACATGAGAAAGAATTCGGAAGAATAATATATAGGTACATTCAACTGATTGAGAGAAAGATGGAAAAAGATTCAGAGGAAGGCATGGAGAACACAGAAAACACCTTAGAAGATTTCAGGAAAACACAAGAATAAATGGACAAAATAAATGAAAAATTAGAAACAACACAAAAGCTACAAATTAAAATTCAAAAGATTAATACTAGAGTTCAGATATGGATAACACACTGAAAAGGTAAAGGATTGAATCAATGGAAGGCCAAATTGGCATGAAGACAATTTTTTTTAATTAAAAAATTTTTATATATATACAACAAAGTACTTGCCATTTCAACCATTTTTATATGTACAATCTAGCCACACTAACCATAGTCCCCATGTTGCACAACCATCACCACTATTCATTGTCAAATCTTTTTTTTTTCCTCTCTCCTTTCTCCCTTTTCCTCCCTTGTTTCCTTTCCCTTTTTTTTAATTTGCTGGAATGTTCCCAGTGGTATGTCCTAATGAGAAAATAAAAATCCATTGCCTCCCTTCCAGTACATGAAAATTTAAAAAGGAAAGAAAGAACCCCCCCAATTTTTTTTTCCTTTTGGTTTCTTTTTCTTTTTAAATGCCTTCCCATTACCATAGTTAGAATGTGTCTATACTCTGCTCAGTGAAAAAATTCTCCCTTCTCTCCATCCTTGTAAATATCATAGAATGTTTAATATAGAATGAAAATCTTTTCTTGAATTTTTTACAATAGTGATCTCATACAATATCTGTCCCTCTGTGACTGATTAATTCCATTCAGCATAATGTTCTCCAGGTTCATTTATGTTATGAGTGTTTCACAGATTCATAATTATTCTTCAGTGTTGTGTAGCATTCCATTGAGTGTAAATAGCAAAGTTTGTTCATTCATTCTTTTGATGATGAACATGGATAAGGCAATGAACATGGAAGTACATGTATCTAGTCATATTGTGGCTCTTATTGCTTGAGGATATATACAAAGTAGAGAGATGCCTGAGTTATATGGTATTTCTACTTCTAACTTTCTGAGACAGTGCCATACATTTTTTCACAGTGTTTATACCATTTTACAATCCCACCAGCAGTGTAGGAAGGTCTCATACTCTCCACACCCTCTCCAGCATTTTTTGTTTTCTGTTTTTCTGAACTTTGTTGTTAATACTGGGATAAGATGAAATCTAACTGTTGTTTTGAGTTACATCTCTCTAATGGCAGTGATCGTGAACATTTCTTCATGTATTTGCTGACTACCTAAATGATTTCTTTATTGAAGTGTCTATTCACGTTCTCTGTGCATTTTTAATTGGATTATTTGTCTTCTTATTGAGGTATTGATGTATTCTATAAATTCTAGAAAGATGTCTTGTGATCTGTCATTGCCAAAGTGTTTTTCCAAGTCTGTGGACTATCTTTTTACTATTTGGTAAAATATTTTGATGCAAATAAGTGTCTAATTTTTAGGAGGTCACAGTGATGTATTTTGTCTTCTGATGCTTGTGTGTTTTCCATTATGTTTGATAGTGAATTTATGCTGTGTATTAGAGCCCCTAAATTTGCCCCTATTATTAGATTGATGATCTTTATAGTTCTTAGTTTTACATTTATGTATAATCCATGTTGTTCATTTTTATATACATGTGAAATATGGGTCTTCTTTCATTCTCCTGCAAATAGATTTCTAGTTTTTCCAGCATCATTTGTTGAAAATACTACCCTTTCCAACTTAATGTGTTTCAGCCCTTTGCCAAAGATCAACTGAGTATAGATGGATAGATTTACTTCTGGGTTTTCATTACTGTTCCACTGATTTATGTAGCCCTCATTGAACCAGCACCAGGATGCTTTGATTACTGTAGCTGCATAGTAGGTTTTGAAATCAGAAAGAACAAGGTCTCCTATTTTGTTCTTCTTTTTTAGAAATACTTTTCTTACCTGAGGTCTTTTTCCTTTCCATATAAAGTTGACAATTAGTTTTTTGCATGTCTTTAAAGAATAATGTTGGAACCTGGATTAGTATTGCATTATTTTTATTGATTGCTTTGGATAGTGTTGACATTTTCACAATGTGAATTTTTCCTATCCACGAGTATAGTATATTCTTCCATTTTTATAGGTCCCTTTTGGTTTCTTGTAGTAGTGGTTTATAGTTTTCTTTGTATATGTCTTTTGTTTTTCTGGTTAGATTTATTAATAAGTATTTCAACTTTGGATGGTTATTGATAATGATATTGTTTTCCTGATTTCCTTTTCACATCTTTCTTTATTATTTTTAAGGAATATAACTAATTTTGTATGTTGATCTTGTACCCTGCCACTTTACTGAATCTTTCAATGAATTCCAATAATTTTCTTGCTGAATTTTTGGGATTTTATAAGTATAGGAACATATTATCTGCAAATAGAGTTTTACTACATATTTGCTAGTGTGGATGGCTTTAATCCCTTCCTTGTCTTATAACTCTGGCTAAGACTGTTAGCATAATACTGAACAGGAATGGTGG